CCTGAGCAGCCCACATTTTTAAAAACTGAAGCATAGTTAACATATAGTGGAGAAGGGAGTTGGGGGAAATTAGAGGGGGAGACGAACCACGAGAGACTGTGGACTCTGAAAAACAATCTGAGGGTTTTGGAGGGTTGGGGGAGCCTAGTGGTAGGTGTTATGGAGGGCACGTATTGCGTGGAGCACTGGGTGTGGTGCATAAACAATGAATTCTGGAACACTGAAAAGAAATTAAAAAAATAAATAATTTTTAAAAAAGAAAAAAAAACATATGGTGTTCTATTAATTTCAGGTGCACAACATAATGATTCAACAATTCTATACGTTACTCAGTGCTCACCACGGTAAGTGCAGTCAGTCATTTGTCACCAAACAACATTTTTACAATCTTTTTTTTTTTTTTTGTTAAGAAGATTTTATTTATTTATTTGAGATGCACAGAGTGAGAGAGAGAGAAAGAGAGAGAGCGCGAGCAGAGGGTAGAGGCAGAGGGAGAGGGACAAGCAGACTCCCCACTGAGCAAGGAGCCTGATGTGGGACTTGATCCCGAGACCCTGGAATCATGCAAGACCTGAGCCGAAGGCAGACATTTAACCGACTGAGCCACCCAGGCATCCCAACATTTTTACAATCTTATTGACTATATTCCTTATGCTGCACTTTCCACCTCTGCGGCTTACTTATTTCATAACTGGAAATTTGTATCTCTTTAATTCCCTGTATCTACTTCACCCATCCCCCCACCCATGAAGCACATTATTCAGACAACTGGAGAAATTTGAGTAGGGACTATATATTAGGTAGTAATATATTATCAATGTTAAATTTCCTGAATTTGACCATTTTGCTGTGATTACCTAAGAATGTCTCCGTACTTAAGAAATCAATGCACTACAATTTTGGGGTAAAGCAGTGGTTCTCTACAGATAAACATGCAGTCCAGGAGTCAGAATTAGACACACAAAAAAACCCAGAGGCTCCTTCTCACACACTACCCCCCAAGCCCCATCCATATGGGTATATTTGATGTTTCCAGAAAATATGCAGGTTAGAGACCTAGAAATAGAATTAGAACAAAAGGTTTAATTCTGTATTTGCTTGCCCACATCCCACATCCACTTCCAGGGATGGATGCTCACGTCACTAACTTCATCTGCAAATAGAAACAGCTGTATGTCTTTTTTAATCTGCATACCTTTCCTTCCAACAGCTTTATTTACCATACAGTTCACCCATTTCAAGTATATAATTTGGGGTGCTTGGGTGGCTCAGTTGGTTAAGCGTCCTACTCTTGATAACAGCTCAGTCTTTTTTTTTTTTTTTTTTTTTTTGATAACAGCTCAGTCTTGATCTCAGGGTCATGAGTTCAAGCCCCACACTGAATGCCTCCACACTGGGCGTGGAGCCCACTTAAAAAAATATATATAATTCACTGGCTTTTGATATATTCAGACACGTGCAACCATTACCTTAAGAGGAGCTCTGTACCATTTAGCTATCACTCCATATCTCTCAACCTCCCAGCCCTAAACAACATCAATTTGCTTTCTGTCTCTGTATATTTCTGGAAGTTCATGTGAATGGAATCCTATAACATATGGTCTTTTCCACTGGCTTCTTTCACTTAGCATAATGATTACAGGGTTCATCCATGGTGTAGCATGGATCAGTAGTTCCCTCCTTTTTATGGATGAGTACTACTCCATTGTAGGGATATACCCCATTTTGTTTGTCTACTCATCTGGTGGTGGGCATCTGAATAATCCTAATGTAAACAGTCACATGCAAGTTCTTGTGTGGATGCGTGTTTTCATTTCTCTTGGGTACATACCTGGGAGTTGAACTATTGGGTCATAAAGTAACTTTCTATTAATTATTTGAGATCTTGACAAACTGGTTTTTCAAACAACTGTACCATTGTATTCCTACCGTTAGTGTATGAGGATTCCAATTTGTCCACATCTTCACCAGCACTTGTTACTATTTCTTTTTTATTTTAGCCACCTTAGTGAGGATGAGACAGCATCTCATTGTGGTTTCGATTTTCATTTCCCTGATAACTGATGATGTCAAGCATCTTTTCATTGCTTATTTGGACATCTGTACATTTTCACTGGAGAAATGTCTATTCAAATCACTTACTCATTTGTTAATTGGGTTGTTTGCCTTTTATTAAGTTGGAAGAATTTTTACAGATTCTGGGTATAAGTCCCTTATCAGATATGTGATTTAAGTATTTCCCCCCATTCTGCGGATTGTCTGTTCATTTTTTTTTAAAGATTTTATTTTAAAGTAATCTCTACACCCAAGGTGGGGCTCGAACCTACAATTGTGAGATCAAGAGTTGCATGCTCCATCTACTGAGCCAGCTGGGAACCCCCTAATTCATTTCCTTAATGGTGTCTTTGGAAACACAAGTTTTTCATTTTCATAAAGTCCCGTTTATCTGTCTTCATGCAGTAAGCTGGGGCAGACAGAGGGCTCACCTTGTTTTTTTCTCTTATGAATTAATGTCTGTGCTTCTTTGTTATTCAATGTCTGAAGACTATAGATTCCTTTTTCTTTAAGTTTTTTTTTTTTTTTTAATTCATTTGAGAGAGAGAGAGACCACAAGCAGGGGGAGAGGCAGAGGGAAAGGGAGAAGCAGGCTCCCCACTGAGTTGGGAGCCAGATGTGGGGCTTGATCCCAGGACCTGGAGATCATGACATGAGATGAAGGCAGAGGCTTCAACCCACTGAGCCACCCAGGCGCCCCTGCCTGCTTCTAATATTTTCTAATTTATATTATTATTTGATTTATAGGCTATGTAGAGTATATTTCTTAAATACCAAACATAAAACTTTTTAGTTATTTATTTTTATCTAATTGCATTGTGATGAGAGAATATGCTGTATATGATTTGAGAGCTCTTGTAGTAGTTCAGATTTCTTTTCCTGCCCACTATTTGGACATTTTTTTTTTCCCTAGGTAAGCTCGATGCCCAGTGTGGGGCTTGAACTCATCACCCTGAGATAAGGAGTCACATGCTCTACTGACTGAGTCAACCAGGCACCCCTGGGCAATTTTTGTAAATGTTCTGGATGCACCTAAAAAGAACATGTATCCAGGGGCAGCTGGGTATAAGCTTCTTTATATGTCCATTGGATCAAGTTTGCTAATTGTGCTGTTTCAATATTCCGTATCCTTGCTAATTTTTTCCTGCCTGTTCTACCAATTACTAACAGAAGTATGTAATGTATCATATTTGTGGATCCATCTATCCTTACTTTTAAGATATTTCTCCCATGTATGGCATACACTTAGAGGTTTTTTTTTTAAAAAAACCTATTTTTTCTATCTTTACCTTTTAACTAAAACATTTTCTCACTTACATTTAATATAATTACTTTCTATAAAATTATGCTGGTACCAAGTTTCTTTGGTTCTTACAGTGCACATTTTTTGCTCTCTCTTATTTTGGACATTAATTTCACAAGCTACTTTTATCAATCAGCTACTGCAGCTAACAACCAGTCCTAAACTTAAAATGAGCTTCAAACAATCACTTATTTCTCATGATACTATGCGTTGACTTTGTGGGCTTCTGGCCTCGGCCAGCTTGTTTGATCTCTGCAGTTGCTGGTGGCTTGGCCAGGACCGGATCATCTAAGAAGGCTTTGTTCACATTGCTGGCAATTGGCAGCCTTCTTGGTCTTGGCTGGAGGCAGGGCTCAGCTGGAATTATTTGTTTCTGCTCCATGTAGTTTCTCATCCTCAACAGTCCAAGTTTCTATACATAGACGTTTCAGAATTCCAGAGCAATAAGACAGGGCAAGCTCTGATGCACAGCTTTTAATCCTCTGCTTTTGTTACATTTGCTATTGTCTCATTGGCCAAAACAAATCATAAGGCCAAGTCAGAAAGAAGAGATCGAGATACAGACTTCGTCTCTCTCTCTCTCTCTCTCTTTTTTTAAGATTTTATTTATTTATTTGACAGAGAGGGAGATCACAAGTAGGCAGAAGCAGGCAGAGAGAGGGGGGAAGAAGGCTCCCTGCTGAGCAGAGAGCCCAATTTGGGGCTCGATCCCAGGACTCTGGGATCATGACTTGAGCTGAAGGCAGAGGCTTAACCCACTGAGCCACCCAGGCACCCCCAGACTTTGTCTCTTGATAGGAGAAATGGCAAAATCACAATATAAAGGATGAGTATACAGGGACAAGAGGAATTACTGTGGTCATTTCCACAATCAGCCTAAGAAGCTTCCTTACCAAAAACACTGGAATTACGTCCAAAGACAAATGACAAGCTTGAAAAAATATTTACAGTGCAAATCACAAAAGATTAATTTAGCTAATACACAAGGAGCTTCTATATATTGTTAAGCTAAAGACCAAATTGTAATACCTAAATGGCTAAATGGTATGGACAATTTCCAAAAAGGGAAATACAAATGTCTCTTGTATTTTGTATCTCCATATATTTGTGGGAAAGGAGAGGGAAATTTTTAAGGCCATTTAGATAATCTTTAAAAAACGGATGGCAAAAAAAATAAAACGAAGCAAAACTAATAGCTTCTTTTTTCTTTTTTTTAACTGATTGCTCCTTAATCACATGGTTCAAAATTTTTAAAAGTACAAAAAGGAAAAAAAAGTACAAAAAGGAACATAGTGAACATGGTGAAACACAGTGAAGATAGTGAATTTTCCCTACACCACATTTGTGAAGTCCTTTGATTTTTACTTCTTAAAGATTTTACCACACAGGAATTTTAGATATTTCCAAATTTTCAAATATTTCTATCATTTCATTTATGGCTCCTGGGTTGGGGACCCATTTTACTGACTCTATGATTATTTAAGAGTCAAAACATTAAAGCTTCTTCATGGTTCCTCTCACTATCTTTTTTTTTTTTTTTTTTAACATTTAAATCTTTGATCTTTGGGATTATCCTGACATAAGGTGTGAAGTAAGGATCTAGCACCATGTGTTGAATTATCCATCTCTCCGCTATTGATTTAAAAGGTCATCATTTTCATAAACTAAATTCCTGCATATATTAACATTTGGAGGTAGGCAGGTGAGCTGATCAGAAGGAAATGACAGCAGAACCCTGGAGGGAGGAGTGGGAGAAACATAACTGAGTTGCAGAACTTTTCTCTTCACTAACTAACCTCATGAGTGACGACATGACAAATGTGGTAATGTTCACCAAAGAGACCCAGCGAGGGACACTTAACTGCCAGCAACATAGAGAACCCACAATGCTTTTTAATATGAAAACTATGTATTTGGGTACAGAAATGCAATATATAACCAGAAACCACTGTTCATCAACAGTGACGTTATTATCTCATCTAAGAACACAAGAGTTGACTTATTAAGGAAGGCCAAGAGAAAACATTTTTTCAAGTCCTAGTCAATGTATTCTGTGAGGGAAGACGAAGCTTACTTGACTCTAGTCACAGTTCCATCATGTCTACTTTCTTTGTAAGTTCAGCTTCAATGGTATCCTACAGGAAGAAAGAAACACCATAAATTCTATAAATAAGAACATAAAACAGGTGCTCGAATTCCTAGTGTAATTTAAAGTAAGGAAGCAAAAAAGAAAAACATTAAAACAGAATTTCAAGGGTGCCTGGGTGGCACAGTCAGTTATGTTGTCTGACACTTGATTTTGACTCAGGTCATGATATCAGGCTTGTGGGATCAAGCCCCACATTGGGTTCCATGATCAGCATGGAGTCTGTATAAGACTCCCTCTCCCTCTCCCAACTGGCATGCTCTCTCTCTAAAATAAATAAGTAAATCTTTTTTTTTTTTTTTAAAGATTTTATTTATTTATTTGTCAGAGAGAGAGAGAGAGGGAGAGAGAGCAAGCACAGGCAGACAGAATGGCAGGCAGAGGCAGAGGGAGAAGCAGGCTCCCTGCTGAGCAAGGAGCCCGATTTGGGACTCGATCCCAGGACGCTGGGATCATGACCTGAGCCGAAGGCAGCTGCTTAACCAACTGAGCCACCCAGGCGTCCCATAAATAAGTAAATCTTAAAAAAAATTTTTTTTTAAATACCATTATAAATATTAAATATGCTTTTAGACATTTTTTGCTTTTATATCTTCGTCTTCTCCTCCATACCCCTGAAAGTTTTCAGACTCCTGATTCTAATAAACATCTTGAGGGGAAAAACTCTTGAGAGAGATGAGTTGCTGTCTCAGTGTAAAGATATATGGACCCATTTTTCTGACATCTACTGTTTGAACAAAGTACTTCCACAACTTCTCTCACATCACCTCTTTCCTACTCTCATTGCCACTTTCTCATTACTTCTCCCCAGTCAAAATAGGCCAACCAGTTTCTGCAATTTTCTCTCTCTCTCCTCTAATCTACACTTATACACTGATTACAGAATAATTTTTCTTTTTTTCCCCAGAATAATCTTTCTAAAGAACTGTCCTAATCAAAAAGCATGGCTTTGGGCACCTGGATGGCTCAGTCATTAAGCGTCTGCCTTCCGCTCAAGTCATAATCATAGGGTCCTGGGATCAAGCCCTGCATCGGGCTCCCTGCTTAGCAAGAAGCCTCCTTCTCCCTCTCCAACTCCCCCTGCTTGTGTTTCCTCTCTTACTGTTATCTCTCTCTCCCTGACAAATAAATAAATAAATAAATAAATCTTAAAAAAAAAAAAAACCCACATAGCTTTGATCACATTTCTCTTTAGCTTAGAAAATAAAGAAATACATAGCAATGTTCAGTGGTCCTCTAGAGCCTCCAAGTTCATCCTCTTTATATTTATGATCTTTTACATCATAAACCAATTGATCTTCTTTAGCCCTACCATCCTTGTATACCCCTAAGCATCTGGACTGCATCACTTGCCAAAGCTTAGACAAGTCCTCCATTTTTTTTTTTTTAGCTCTTATACCTTTGTTAATTCTTTTGCCTAGAATATTCTATGTCTCTCGACATCCCCTTTTCCAGCCAGGAAAATCTATGCAAAAATTTAAAAGAGATAAAAAATCACTATGTATTTTTTATGGAAAGAAATATATATACATATCCAAAAAAGTATTTAAAAAATACATGATGGACCATGTGGCTGGCGCATTTGGGAGTATGTGACTATTGATCTCGGGGTCATGAGTTCAAGGCCCATATTGGGTGCTGAGCTGACTCAAAAAAAAAAAAAAACAAAAAAATTTTTTTTAAAAAAGCATGGTAATGGGGCACCTGGGTGGCTCAGTGGTTTAAGCTTCTGCCTTCAGCTCAGGTCATGATCTCAGGGTCCTGGGATTGAGTTCCGCATTGGGCTCTCTGCTCGGCGGGGAGCCACTTCCCCCTCTCTCTCTGCCTGCCTCTCTGCCTACTGTGATCTCTTTCTCTATCAAATAAATTAAGAAAATCTTTTAAAAAAATAAATTAAAAAAGCATGGTAATGACACATAGCAACTTTGGAACTGTCGTTTACCACGAGTGGGAAGGAAAAAAGAAGGATGAAGGGAGCTTTAGTTCTATCAGCAGTTTTTTCTTTCTTTTTAAAAAATCAGAAGAAGAAAAATGGAACTACTTACTAATTCCCGCTTTGCTTCTTCAATTTTCACCTGAGCAAGGGACGGGTTCTTTTAAAGAAAAATAAAACAAGAAGACGTTATATTGCATCACCCAGAACTCAAGGAGAAAAAGTGCAACAGTCTTTTTCAAAAGGCAAAAACCTTACAGAAGTGTATCCAGTTTACATATGATATTGAAATTTAGCAGACTTTAAATCCTTAAACATGGACCTAGTATTTTCATGATCATTTAGTACCTTTGGGGAAAGTTGGAGATTACTTTTTTTTTAATTCATAAAAATAATTACCGGCATTAAATCCAAATAGGACTCTAATTTTTTCTTCAAAGGTATAGTCTGTCGTTTTAGTTCTGCCAATTTCTGGGGGTGGAAAAAACACAAGAGTCACAGAGTGATAGAGATATTCATAATGCAACTAAACACCACTCATTTCTGAAATAAAACATAATAAAGCATTAACATTAAGTTATTTTAAATAATGTATCAAATTGTACCTATAGGCCAAATGAGGTTCAAAGATACATGAATAACGAACTTACTTCCAATGGAATCAATCCTTATAAGATGCTTAAAAGAGAAAAGTTATACTCCCATTTACTAAAAATAGGATTTAAGTGGGGTGTCTGGCTGGCTTGGTCCATGGAGCACGTGACTCTTTATTTCAGGGTTGTAAGTTCAAGTCCTACATTGGATGTAGGGACTACTTAAAAATAGAATCTTTTAAAAAAGAGAATAGAAGGGGTGCCTGGGTGGCTCAGTGGGTTAAAGCCTCTGCCTTTGGCTTGGGTCATGGTCCCGGGGTCCTGGGATAGAACCCCGAGTCGGGCTCTCTGCTCAGCGGGGTGCCTGCTTCCCTTCCTCTCTCTCTGCCTGCCTCTCTGCCTGCCTGCGATCTCTGTCTGCCAAATAAATAAATAAATAATCTTAAAAAAAAAAAGAGAGAGAGAGAGAGAATAGGAAAAAAAAAATAAGAGAACAGGGGCACCTGGGTGGCTCAATTGGATAAGCGTAAACTCTTAGTTTTGGCTCAGGTCATGATCTCAGGGTCCTGGGATGGAGCCCACACCAGGCTCCACACTCAGTGCACTCTGCTTGTCCTTCTCTCTCTCTGTTTCTCTCTCTGTACTGGTCCCGCTCTCTCTCCTCTCTCTCCCTCAAATAAATAAATACAATCTTTAAAAAAAGAGAATAGGATCTAAGTATACTGTCTAGGAGAACAGGAATCATAATGTAAGGGAGCCGTTAGGATCTTAAACTGATGAACTGTCAACCTTAGATTCCAAAAATCAAAGAGTAAAAAATCATAAGAATAAAATAATAATTGGGATGCGTGGGTGGCTCAGTCTGTTAATCGTCTGCCTTTGGCTCAGGTCGTGATCCCAGGGTCCTGGGATCGAGTCCCACATCAGGCTCCTTGCTCAGAGGGAAGCTGCTTCTCCCTCTGCCTGCTACTCCCTCTGTTCATGCTCTCTCTTTCCCCCTCCCCTGACAAATAAATAAATAAATCTTAAAAAAAAGAATAAAAGAATAATAACAAAATAAAACCTCCTCTTTCTCCCTCTTCCCACAAAAATAAATGAGACACTTATACAACCTAAAAACCTAGGATTGCATCCAATAGGAGTTTTCAGGCCTGCATTTTTACTTTTACTGTAAATGGAAAGAGAAGAAGAGGACCTAGATGGTTAGTATATAATCCCTCAATAAATATATTTTATAAACAAATCAATAACATATAACCAACTCTAGCAAAGAGTTTCTAGCATATAGTAATATATAAAGGAAACCAAACAAATGTGAGGATAGTTACAGCTAACCAAGGAATAAAGGTATAAATGCTGGTGAACGTAAACTACAGAAGTGAAGAAAAACAGGTCAATAGTGAACAAAGCTCTGTACCAAGAAACAAATGAAAAAGCAGACTGTGCACTAAGATTTTAAAGAGAGCTAAATTGGGTTACAATGAGCTCACCTCTGAAAGTGCTACTAGGGACTGATGAGACAGAGAAGCATCCATGCCTCTGGATGAAAGTTGCTCCTATAATTCCAAAAAAGGGAGTTCGGTTAAAAACAGTATTTTGAGGGGTGACTGGGTGGCTCAGTGGGTTAGGCCTCTGCATTCGGCTCGGGTCATGATCTCAGGGTCCTGGGATCGAGCCCCACAATGGGCTCTCTGCTGAGCAGGGAGCCTGCTTCCCTTCCTCTCTCTCTGCCTACTTGTGATCTCTGTCTGTCAAATAAATAAATAAAATCTTTAAAACAAACAAACAAACCAAAAAAACAGTATTTTGAAAGTGACCATCATGAACATACTTTCAACATACAACACAGTAACAAGAAGCTACAAGTCATAGATGGAAAACCACACATGCATCTAAGCACTTTTATGCAGCATGTGGATCCTTTCAAACAGTCACAGAGCTGTCACAAGATGGGTGCACTGCTAAGAGTCTGGGCTCCGGGGCCTGGCTGCCTGCACTTGAATCTGGATCCGCGGCTAAGCAGCTACGTGACTTTGGGCAAGTTACCCATCTTCTCCATAGTTCCCTTATCTGGAAAAGGTAGGAATAATATTGCCTAGATGTGAGGGTGAAGGTCAACAAGAAGTTTGAAAAGAATTAAATAGGGGCACCTGGGTGGCTCAGTTGGTTAAGCATCTGCCTTCAGCTCAGGTCATGATCCCAGGGTCCCAGGATTGAGCCTCCCATTGGGCTCCGAACTCAGCAGGAAGTCTGCTTCTCCCTCTGACCTTCCCCCTTCTCATGCTCTCTCTCTCTCAAATGGTTAAGTAAAATTAAAAAAAAAAAAAAAAAAAAAAAAAAGAACTAAATATATTTAGTCCTTTGTACAAACCTCTGCAGTTCTGATTCCAAATCTGAACTCCTCTGACTTTGCTTTGAGGAAGTCCATGTTCTGAAGACGATTGTCAACTTTGGCCCTTTCTGTAGACAGATGAAACTCAGCCTTCTTTAGATCCCTTTAAAAAGTAAGGTTGAAAACATTCTCTTCTCTTCAGTGGAATTATAAAAAAGAAGCTACTACTTTTGGGATTTGACTCTGGATTAGCCAAAAGTTGGTAATACACTTGCTAGATTTTCTACTATATACTTTATTTTTATTTACTTTATTTTTAAAGATTTTATTTATTTACTTGACAGAGAGAGAGTAAGAGAAGGAACACAAGTAGGAGGAGTGGCGGAATGAGAGAGGGAGAAGTAGGCTTCCCGCTGAGCACGGAGCCCGATGTGGGGCTCGATCCAAGGACTCTGGGATCACAACCTGAGCCGAATGCAGGCGCTTAATACTGAACCACCCAGGCACCCCTCTACCATATACTTTATATTGCAGACTAGCTACCATTTTTTCTTCCAGGTCATCTCCGCCATGCTGCCACCTGGAATTTTTCTCAAGGAATACTAAGTAATTTTAAGATTAATCTGGCCAAAAAAAAAAAAAAAAAAGATTAATCTGGCCAATTATTCTTGGAGAAAGTAAACCTGCTGTTTGAAGAAATGATTTAATATATCCAAGCCAACTTGAATTATGGAGGTCCCAAAGTCCTCTTTCCTAGATGTGACATGATAGAGTGCCTTGCACCTACATACTCAATATTTGTTAAGGAAATTTACACACCACCAAATTACTTGTGCATATCCACATTCCTGATCTAGAGCATGTAATCTCTGGGGCAACAGGGATCTAAAGAAGGTCCAGAGCATCAAAAGGGATATCAGAGCTCTAGGGGTGTCTGACTCTTGATTTTGGCTGGGGTCATGATCTTAGGGTTCTGAGATCAAGCCCTGAGACAGGCTCTGTGCTCAGTGGGGAGTCTGCTTGAGATTCTCTCTGTAACTCTCCCTGCCCCCACCCCCTACTTGCACACACACACACACACACACACACATTTTCTCTCTCTCTAAAATAAATAAATAAATAAATATTAAAAAAAAAAAAAAAGGAGGGATACCAGAGGTCTAATAAGAATGGGCAACAAATTATAATGTGACTTTACGTTGCACCATAGCTTATAAGTAAAAAAAAAAAAAAAAAAAAAAAAATTTCATGTAAAATTCCCCAAATTATAAAAACTAGGCTATTTGTTGGGGCATCTGGGGGGTGTAGTCAGTTAGGCATCCGACTTTTCACTTCCGCTCAGGTCATGATCTCTGGATGGATGGTTCGAGTCCTGCATGGGGCTCCGTGCTCAGTGGGGTGTCTGCTTAAGATTCTTTCTCCCTCTCCCTCTGTCCCACTCTTGCAGACACTCTCTCACTCTCAAGTAAATAAATCTCAAAACAAACAAACAAAAACAAGGCCATTTGTAAAAGAGGTAAAAAATTGTATGAAGTAAAAGGTCAAAGTCTGTATCCAACCAACTCCTATCTACATCCAAGTCATTTTTTACTTAGAAAACCATTTATGGACCCCAGTTCCTAATGTGTTGTTTTAAAACATATCTGCCGCCCAAACTATATCTGATAATACCCTGTCACGGCTTTTATAATAAACATTGTCACAGCTTCCAACCCAATTACTTACTCTCGTAGACATTTTTCTAACACTAAAGTTGCAGTTAGATTTTTTTCAAGTTTTGCCAGTTCAAGCTTGATTTCTTCATTTTTGGATTTGGTACGGAAAAGATCAGAGGTCAAGTCGTTCACTGCAGGGATAAAACTAAAAAAAAGAATCTGATCACATAAATGGACATTAAGGACAATGATGACAATTATTCCTCATTTCTAACGATGACTTTATCTCTATGTGGATTTTTCTGTCATCACACTTTTTCATACCTCCATGCATTTTTTTTTCTCTATGCATTTTTTTTAACATGCTGTTCCCACTGCCTGAAAAGCCTTTCTTCAGGCGAATTTCCGTTTGTCTTTCAAAACTCAAACAAGATTTACTCCCATTCTGGAACTCAGTACTCCTTTCTCTGTGCTACTTAGCTACAGCTGGTACATTCTTGTATTGTTACAGATGTCAAACTATGCTATAGTTTTACATACCCATCTCCCTTATTTGACCATGAGCAGAGGCTGTCCTTGCTGACAGTTATTAGCCTATGCTTCCCCAGTGCCTCTGTGTGTGTGTGTATACACATCTATCTATATCTATCCATCTGTCTATATGAGTGTGTGTGTATCGCTATATTTATATGCCTAGCATATAACTGGTATTTGGTGTCTGCTGAATTGACTCAATTCAAGTTTAAATTTCTGCTGTAATACAGTCTTATATTCTTATACTTGAAACACTACTCTCTGAGCATATATATTAATTCCAAGTCCTCATATGGGCAATTAAGTAGAAGAGCTAAACAGCTCTCTGATTACAACTGAGTGGTCATCCTAGCTAAGACATGGCCACCAATGGTAATCATACAGACTTTGGTGTCAAGCTGGGTTGGAATCCCAGTTCTGCCATTTACCAGCTTGGACAAGTTATTTAACACACCTCTCCTGGGCTTTAGCTTCCTACTAGGGTTGTTGGAAAGAATATCATTATATAGGTGGGATGCCTATCACAAAGAATAAAGGTCCTTAACCTACTCTACCCAGTATAGGGGACATGACCAAAATTCACTATGCTCAATCAGATAATTTAGCCTATTGCTTTTCTTATTTCACAGGGAGCAATGTAAGTGATACCTAATCCTCTTCCAAATATATATGTGTACCAACCTTCACAAACTTAATCTTAGAAGAAGAAAATTTAAACAACACCAAGTTTATCTGAATTAATTAAACATGTTCACTGGCAATGATAAGGAGGTATTAAGTAAATTCAATGTTTTTGCATTTATTGTTAATTTCCTCTACAGAATTACCCAGAGAAACAGAAAAAATCCTTAGGTCAAGACATTAAAGTATATGATTACAGAAATTAAAATTGTCATGAGAATTACCTAGCTAGTGAGGTATCCTTTATTTCAAGGGCCACTGCACTGTCAGCCACAGCATTCAGGTACCTAGAACCAGTGCTAGACAGATTGGCAGGGGAAAAATTCACACTCTCCATGAGAAGGCTCTGAAGATGCTTGGCTGAAAAGATAGGAGAGTTCTATGGTGACTAAGATGTTTCTTTTATTTTAATTTTTAATAGCTTTATTGAAATCTTTTCACATATCATATAATCCACCCACCTAAAGTATACAATTGATGATTTTTAGTACATTCACAGTGTTGTACACCCACCAATACAATTTTAGAGCATTTTCATCACCCCCAAACATACCCCACATTTCTTAATCATCGTATTCCAATTCCCTAACCCATGAAGCCCTAGCAACCACTAACTTACATTCTGTCTTTACTCATTTAATGTTTGGAACTAGAACTGCTAGTCATATGGTAACTATGTTTAACTATTTGAGGAATTACCAGACTGTTTTCCAAAGCAACCATATGATTTTATAATCCCACTTTCAATTTCTCCATATTTTCACCAACAGTTATTATTAAGATTATTTTTATTATTATTATTTTGTATCAAGGTCACTCGCAGAACTTAGTAATGATCAATAAAATGATAACCCAAGATCTTTTTGACTATAGACCTCCTTGTAGGTGTGAAATGGAATTGTGGTTTTCATTTGCATTTCCCTGATGTCTAATAATGCTGGCTTCTTGGCCATTTTTATAACTGTTTGGGAGAAATGTATATTCACATTCCTATTTTTTTATTGGGTTATTGATCTCTTTATTATTGAGTTGTAGGAGTTCTTTATATGTTATAAACACAAACCCTTATCAGATATGACTTGAAAATGTTTTCTCCCATTCTGTGGGCTGTCTTTTCATTTACTTGATGGTGTCCTTTGAGAACAAAAGTTTTTAACTTTGATGATGTCCAATTTATTTACTTTTTCTTTTGTTGCTTTTATTTAGGGGAATGATAGTTAAGAAACCATTGCTAAATTCAAGGTCATAAAGATATACACTGATGTTGTCTTCTGAGTTTTAGGTTCAGCTCCCATCCTTAGATTTTTAATTCATTTGGAATTAATTCTTGCATAGAATTAATTAATTAATTAAGCAGGGTCCAATTTCATTCTTATACATGTGACTATCCAGTTATCCCAGCACTAGTCATTGAAAAGCCTATTTTCTTGTTACCCTTGTCAAAAATCAGGAGACCAGGATTAAGACTTCTAGCCTAACAGGGCAATGAGAGCTACATACCAGCCCCCACTGTGAAACAGGTGAAAATTGTAAAAAACAAAATAAGAAACCCAACCACGTAAAAACAACAACAACAACAAAAACCAGAAGCAAAACACAATGATTTAAAGCCTGGGAAACTGGTTCTAAGGACAAACAGCAAATAAAGAAACATCTATTCTAGAAAATCCGTGAAAATTCCGTGAGGAAGGTGAGAGTTGTGGTATTTAAACCAAGACCACCCCCTCTTTCTCCCTCCCAGTTCAGTGAGGTGGAGACTCCACTCCAGACTATTGTAGTTAAGAACACAGGAATCTCCATGCCCCCTACTCCCAGCCAGAGGGCTTTCTGTCCAGGAGGAACTGATTTTCAGTGTTCCTCATCCTGCCATCAGCTATTTGCTGAGACTGAGTCCTAGGTGAATATGGCTCAAAGGTGTGGGCTCTCTTCCTCCACCCAGCCACTGTTTTTGGAATGGAAGCTCTGCCTTGGGTGATCTTCCCCTACCCTACAAGCCCTTTTACCAGCTCATGAGGTAGTGATTCCACACCAGGAAAGGAAAGTCAGGAGGACCTAAGGCTGCTGTACTCCCTGTCCACCAAGCACTCAGCATCTACCCTGGCAGGGCCACTCAGAGAAAAGCTTGCTATTGTCTCTACCTCCAACTCCAGATCATGGCTCAGAGATTTTTGGGCAGAGGAAGAAGCAAAACATAGAAGACATAATTCCCAGTATCTTCCCGAAGGAGCTGAATTCATTTGCAACAGAGCCTGGAGAAGTCCAAGCCTAAAGAGACTTTCAGGAACTGTGGAAGTTATAGTAAAAAGCAATGGGAGAAGAGTCAAGACACAGGTTAAACTGTAGCCTAGTTAGTTTGCGCAGGAAAAGCAGAGAATAAGACATTTTCGAGGAACCGGCCCTAGGTCACAACAAATATCAAACACTGCCTTCTGATACCTTTAAGGGTGCCAGAATTTGATTGGAATAGCTTGAGGCTTATGTCCCACAGCATTATTGGACACAATAATGAGCTGTCAATTAGCAGAACTTCGCAGTTAGACGTGGTCCATGAAAGAGAGGAAGACAGTCCTTCCAAAATCACTGACACCCCACAGTGACTGTGGGGTACTTAAGTCTGTGCCTTCCTGAGGACCAACACCACAGGCTTAACACCATCAAGGGTAAACAAACTTCATTAAAAACAATTAGCCAGTCATTAAGCAAACAAGAAAACACCGACAACAAGTTTTGAGGGGCTGGGGTGTTGGGAGACTTGTACTCAGAGTTGCTACAATACATTATCTGAAATGTCCTGTTTCCATAAAAAATACATAGGAATGCAAAACAAGAAAGCATGACCCATGGTAAAAAGCAAGCAAAAGAAATTGCCTGTCAGAATGATCATATGTTGGATTTATCAGAAAAGACTTCAAAATAGCCATGCAAACAAGTTCACAGTACCAAAGGAAACCATGAGGAAAGAAGTAACAAAAGGTATGAGGACAATGTTGCATCAAATAGAGAATATCAAGAAGAAACAGAAATTTCTAAAAAAAAAAAAATTAAAAGGAAATTCTAGAGTTGAAGAGTACAATGACTAAACTGAGAAGTTGACTAAAGAAAATGAACAATAGATTTGAAGTAGCAGAATACATAAGTGAACTTAAAATTAAAGCAATAGAGGGGCACCTGGGTGGCTCAGTGGGTTATAGCCTCTGCCTTCGGCTCAGGTCATGATCCCAGGGTCCTGGGATTGAGCCCCGCATTGGGCTCTCTGCTCAGTGGGGAGCCCGCTTCCCCCTCTCTCTCTGTCTGCCTCTCTGCCTACTTGTGATCTCTGTCTGTCAAATAAATAAAAAAAAAATTAAAGCAACAGAAACTATGGAAGCTGAAGAACAGAGAGGAAAAAAGTAAAAAAAAAAAAAAGAGAGAGAGAGAGCACCTCAGAAAAATGAGGAACACCATTAGGCACACCAGCATATGTACAATGGGAGTCCAGAAGAAAGAAACAGAAAAAGAACAGTCAAAGAAATAATGCCTGAAAACTTACCATATTTGTTGAAAAACAATAATCTATACATCCAAGAAATAACTCAACAAAAAAACTCAACAACTCAACAAACCCAAGTGAAATAAATGCAAAGAGATCCACAAACACACATATCAAAATAAAAATGTTGAAGGAAAAGATAAGGAGACAATCTTGAGAACAGCAAAAGAGAAAGGATTTGTTATTTGCAAGAAAATCCCAATAAGATTAATAGTTGACTTCTCGGCAGAAACAATGGAGGCCAGAAAGCAATCGGGTAATATATTCAAAGTGTTCAAGAGAAAAACTATCAATGAAGAATCCTACATTTAGCAAAACTATCTTTCAAAAGTGAATGCAAAGGAAAGACTCCCAGATAGACAAAAGCAGAGAATTTGTTGTTAGCAGTCCTGACTTAGAAGAAATTCTAAAGGAGTTCTGTGGGCTAAAAGCAAGTGATAATTCAATAATTCAAATGTACACACAAAAAACAATGACTACCAAGAAAGGTGGCTACAGAATTGTAAAGAGCATACATGCATATTTTTTCTCCTGATTTAAAAAGCAATTACGGGGTGCCTGGGTGGCTCAGTGGGTTAAGCCTCTGCCTTCGGCTCAGGTCATGATCTCAGGTCCTGGGATCCATCGGGCTCTCTGCTCAGCGGGGAGCCTGCTTCCCCCGCCCCCTGCCTGCCTCTCTGCCCACTTGTGATCTCTGTCAAATAAATAAACAAAACTTAAAAAAAAAAGCAATTGCATAAAATAACATGTAAATAAAATATTGCTGCATCGTAGAAATATTATATGCTAAAAGTAGTGAACCAAAACAAAAAGTCAATTTTGCTGTATATTAATTTTTAAAAGAAAATTGGAAAAAAAGCCCATATGCAGTAGAATTACAATACAAACTGTACTATATTCAAAACATTGCATGTAGCCCAGGCCACACACATTTAATACAGGGCAACTGTAGGTCTCACTTTTTTCCTCTTTTGTATATTCCAACACATAGAAAGGTTTTTGTCAATTCTTTTGTGTGTAGTTTGCATTACAAAAAGAACAGGTGTCTTGAATGCACTTTCTCAAGACACATATGCACAGCAAAAAATTCTAGTGCAATCCCATGAACACATAGTGATGACATGATTTGTTCACGGAGTTCATGGCTGCCACCTCGCATGTCCTGATGGCTCAATTAAACTAAAGCATGGAGACGGGAAACAGATCAAGAAGATATGTAAGTGAAAATCCAAAAGCCTGTATGTCAGCCTAAGTTTAGACACATGTTCTGGGGGTTACTATTTGGTATCAGAGTACAAGTAAAATTTACATTATAATGAAATAATGGCTTATTAAGTTGCTATAATAACGGAGTGGGAGCCAAAGCAAAACAAAAAACAGTCTACACTAAATTAATTTTGTAGTCTTGAGTGTTATAAAATGTAGTTACCTCGAGTTATCTCATTCAAAATTCTGTAATTAATCTCACCTTCGGATTCATATTCACTTGCTTTCTGTTTCAAGTCCTCTATTACCAAAGAGACATCCCTGTCCCGAACCCTGTTGCGCTCTGAAAGGTGATGTAAAATCTCCGTGGTCCGAGCATTCACCTCATACTGTGGAATGGGGTGGTCTCCAAATATTTTTTTCAACCATGCAGCAACCTAACCATTAAAATAAAAATAAATATCATAAGCCTCGTTTGTTGTACTAGCATGAAGCACGTATGAGAAAGAAGTGATGAGTAGCAAACAAAACGTTCTCTGGAAATATTCTGGCAACGCATTGACTTCGCATTATAATTGTCTCTACGGAGATAGATACCAGATGTCAGGAAACAAGTGAGCAAGCCCAATGAACAAAATCAGAAAACGATCCACCCTTTCCTAAAGCTACAAAGCAATATAAGGATACTAATTTGCATCACTCGGATGATTTTAAGCTCAGTATGAAGGTGCCAAAGCACTATTATACGCTCAAAGTTTGAAAAAAGAGCTGCTCTCAACACGCCAAAAGCCCCGCGGTATCCAGAGGCACCGAGAGTAGGGATGCAGAATAAGGAAGCAGGTCAGGTGTGAAAATCCTGCTAGGAAGCAGCGGTGAACGGTGAAGCTTGGCTGGAAAGTGGGTTTGGATTCGCAAGTCCCACTCCAGTCTGCTGAGAGGCATCTCGTACCCAGGGGCTCCTCAACCGCTCTCCAAGTCTGAGTCCAAGGAAGGAGAGCCCGGGAAAGGAAGAGAAACGCCCTTTCCCGTGGGTCTAAGCATTGTAGGGCTCGCAGATCGTGAACTTGGGTCTAAAAGATAGACCGGCAGAGTAGGGGAAGGAAAAAAGTAAACAAGGTGCGCCTAGGAAATCCGCGGACGGGGAGAGTGTGTTAAAGATGCCGTCTCCAGAAGGCCACAAATCCCCGATCCCACCCCATCACCTGCGCCTCTTTCTCTTCCTGTGCTTCCATAGCCGCCGCTCCCGCCACTTCTCGAGGAGTTCCTCGCGGGAGAAATTCACAGCTCGCCCTGAAGGCCCCGCCCACACACCGTTGGTTCCTCCCCCTTCTGGGCCCGGGATTTCTGGGAGTTGTAGTTTTTACTAGGACCGTGGGTCTCTGAGTCCTTGGGCAAGGCTGGTCCAAGGCTCCAAGACCGCGAGCTTGCCGCCTCGCGGGTCTCTCTGCTCTCCTTGGTATCTTTTCCTAGATGAGAAGGACAACCGTCCAGAACCAGGCTGTTTTTTTTTTTCTTTCTTATATTTTTATTTCTGACTTGAACCACTTGTCTTAAAAAAATACCTAAAACTTGTTTTTTGGATAGCAGATATTTGTTTCTTCCACAAGGAGTGCATTGACTTAAAATTTTTATTTTACCCTAGCAATATGAGCTGCAGCAGTCTTACCTTATCCTTTAGTTTCCACTATGAAAGAGCTACATGTGCTGGAGATTGTTTTAAAATAGTTGACAGTTGGCGTGCCTGACTAGCTCAATCAGAAGAGTGGGACTTATGATCTGGGTTGTGAGTTCAAGTCCCTCTTGGGGTGTAGAGATTACTTAAATAAATAAAACTTAAAGAAAAAAAAAAAAACAGTTGATGGCATCCAGCTGCTGGCCCTGTCACTGACACTCAACCATTCTTCATTCATTCATTGCCTTCCCTAAAGTTCTCCCTCCATCACTGTAGTGTTAACTACAAGAGGTTCTCTGTAGACTGCAATGTATAGTTCTCTTTGTTTTCCTGTTTTAGTTTCATTCTTACAAGTACCCTAGAAAAATAGATGAACACATTAGTCTACCTATTTTCACATTAAAAACCATGCACACACGGATTAAATGACTTGACCAAGACTAAGTAGTAGAGCTAGAGTCTGATCATAATGTTCTGGCTCTGATTGTTTTATCTTTGAAGGCCAGTTAGACCACACTGCTGCCTGCAGCCTCCTGTAGTATACTGTGAAACATCAGGAAAGGTAGCCCATGTACTCAATGGTGTGATATATGTGGTTTAATATCAAATTGTGGATCACTCTTAGCACTAAATATCTTTCTTCTAAGTCAGAAATTTCTTTATGATGAAACTTTTTTTCAAAATAATTTTACTAAAAAAAAAAAAAAGAATTTTACTAACTAGCCAATACCATATTGTACGGCTTCCTTATTTTTTTTAGTCAAATGTGTCTCTGCTCAGTAACCAAATTTCAATTAAGTTGGTACAGCCTCTGAGTATGGGGGGAAAAGTTATCTTTATGTCCTTTGTCCACTTTCATCACTACTAATTTCACAAAATACCCTTCCAACCTTTCTGTTTTTAGAAGCCAATATTTTTTTCTGTTAGCCTCCTCTTACCCATAAGGAGAAGGATAGTCACCTTAAAAATGGAATAGAATATTAGAAAAGGGATTGCTGACCATACATTCACAAGCTGTATTTTAGGACATGATCCTTTTAATCCTGATATTCATATGCTCCACCCAAATTAAGGTTTTGTCTGTAAACTAGATAAGACACCCAATATTCCCTCCCCTGACAACAATTCTGTGCATATCATAAAAATCTCAGTATGGCAAAAAGTCTGTGTGTGTATGGGTGGGGAAGTTCTGTTCCAATGTTAGTGTGTCGGTATAGAAGGTGTTTTTTATTTCATCCTTTCCGTTTTATTTTGTTTTTTAAAGATTTTATTTACTGGCAGAGAGAGAGAGAGCGTGCGCGTGGGTACGAAGAGAGAACATAAGCAGGAGGAGCAGCAGAGGGAGAGGGAGAAGCAGGCTCCCGCTGAACACGGAGCGGGACACAGGACTAGATTCTAGGAATCTGGGATCATGACCTCAGCGGAAGGCAAATACTTAACCGACTAAGCCACCGAGGCATCCCTATCATTTCCATCTTATTCCAAATTTATTTTTTTTTAAAGGTCTCATTTATTTATTTGAGAGAGAGTGAGAGAGAGAGAAATCAAGAGCAGGCCAGCAGGGGCATAGGGTAGAGGGAGAAGCAGACTCCCCACTGATCAGGGAGCCCAATCGGGGACTCTACCCCAGGACCTCCCCATCATGACCTGAGCCCAAGGCGGAGGCTTGTCTCTGACTGAGACACTCAGACGCCCTAATTTTATTCCAAATGTAAAAGTATAGTCCCTGTTGTCCTGAAACTAGTTGGTAGAGGAAACCTTGACTCCTAGTCCAGTCTGGGATGAGACTTCTGATTCCGCACCACCCTCAGTGAATTGGCAACCACTCATTTTGAACTTGCGCTTGTTACCATTTTTAAACAATTTGTTCTAATATACAGATTTCATTTAGATAGAATATAAAAGAACTGCGATTTTCGAACTTGAGTGCGTAACGGATCACCTAGAATGGTGTGGGCGCCTCTCAAAAATTCAGATTACTCCAAATTTTCAACTTTAAGAAGGTCTGGGGGGTGGGGCCAGCGATCTACAGTTTAGTTCCGCACGCCCCTGGCGATAACTGTTTATTTTGCTACTACGCTTTTAAAGCTGTAGTCTCGGACCCCACAACATCAACCTCCCGTCACCTTCAAACCAGCTGCGTCCCACCGCCGGGTGACGCCTACACGTCCCCAGCCCGGACTGGGCCTGAAAGCCGCAACGTAAGGGGTTCCGCTACCCACATGGTCGCCAGGGGCAACCACAAGGTCAACTCAGTAGGTCAAAACAAATGTGTAACGAAAGCCTGGGCCGAAGTTAACAAAGATATAATCGCTAATTTTTATGTTTAACTCTAAAAACAATACTTTAAAAAAGTAACTCCACCCCCAACCCTCCCGCAAAAGGCAGATTTGCGTCCGGGGGTGAGCACGAGGGGCGGTACTTCCGGGTCAGGTGGGTCGGCTGCCTTGACCTTCCTCGTCGCTCTGCCATTTTGTCCCAGTCAGTCCGGAGGCTGCGGCTGCGGAGGAGCCACCCGAGGAGAACCTGCAAAGATGCTGTCCGTGCGCGTCGCCGCGGCCGTGGCCCGCGCCCTTCCTCGACGGGCCGGGCTGGTGAGTGCGGGGTACCGGCGGGAGGGAGGTGGCCCAGCGGGTGGCTGGTGCTGTGCTGATTCGCGAGCTCTTGCTGCTTGGAGGGCGAGGGGCTGGCGGGCGCCGCCATCTTGCATCGCTGGCTGCTCGGCCTTGGGCTGGGCGACGGCGCAAGGGCCCAGATGCTCGCCATCGGTGCGGGACGGTGTTAAGCGCTGCAGGGGAGGTGGCGACTTCGATGTTGTCTAGAGAGGGACCTCAGGGGGTGTCCAGGACTTCAATTGAGAGCTGTCCGAGAGGGGGCTTTGGGTGAAGGTCAGGGCTGGGTCGCTAGCTCTCCGACACCTGCTCTGAAACGGCGAGGCTTGTCGCCCGCCAGTTCTCCGGGATTGCCCCGCCGAAGGTCCGAGGACTATTGGTAGCTCTAGTTGAAGCGACCTGGGTAAGCCTGACATTGTATGAAGGTCAGTACGCCCCGGCATTTCACCTGTGCTCGGAGGTCGGTTCGGGGGAAAGCAATAAATGAAGGTGCTTTTCTGAATACTTAAGTAGACGATCTCAGTGCTGAATACTGAGGTGTCTGTGAAACGCCATACAGTGTAAATGTGCATTTCCTGCGGCCGATACCGTGAGAGCAGTGAAACCTAAATTGTCTCAGGCAGAAAGAAGGGTTTGCTTTGTGTCGTGGTACTTTGACGTGTTTTAAGATTTCGTCCTTGAGGAAAAGTTAGACAGTGATTGAGAGCTCAAGATAGAGCATAGGTTGGAAAATGCCTGTAAAGGTCAATGCCCTTCGTAACTTACCGCCCTTTAAGGCTTACATTTACTTACTCTTGTTAAACGTAGTATCAGTTTCAGAGGTAAAATAAACACTGGCTAATTTACTGTTCTAATACAACTAAGTTGCAAGAAAAACATTTTTAGTGGTTTTCAACCGGTTCTGTAGAAGATAGGTTCAGAATTGACAGTGACTAATAGCATCGTTACAACTTGAAGGAGGCGGTCCAGATTGTTGTAGGCTTTGTCCATGGCCGGGGGGGGGGGGGGGGGAGGAAAGAACCACAGCCATTCTTTATTTCTAATCAAACTCTCTTTAACATTTAGGAATTTAATTTTTTAAAAAAGATTTTATTTATTTATTTGACAGATCACAAGTAGGCAGAGAAAAGGGAGATGGGGGAGCAGGCTCCCCGCTGAGCAGAGATTCCCAGGACCCTAAGACCATAACCTGAGCCCCCAACCCACTGAACCACCCAGGCGCCCAGGAATTTTTTATGTGTTTTTTTTTTTGTTGGGTTTGTTTTGTTTTTTTTTTTAAGTAAAATAGGATATATATGGATATTTCCCCTTCTTAGGAAGTTACCTTACTGAGAATTTCCACAGTTCAACTCAAATGTATTTGAAGATGAAATAATAGTACCTGATCCCCTTAAAGGAAAGGATAATTTGGTAACTCTTGGTTTTTAAAAATCACTTTAAAAATTATTTATTTTTTTTTAAGATTTTATTTATTTGACAGGTCACAAGTAAGCAGAGCAGCAGGCAGAGAGAGAAAGGGGGAAGCGGGCTGCCTGCTGGGGAGACAGTCCAATGCGGGGCTTGATCCCAGGACCCTGAGATCATGACCAGAGCTGAAGGCAGAGGCCTAACCCACTGAGCCACCCAGGCACCCCTAAAATAGGCTTTTTATAAAATACTTAACCATGTTCCCAGGAGCTGCTTAATACATTTTTGCATATATCAAAATCTGCTTTGTCATGTGATTAATAGCCTTCCAATTTTAAGCAGAATATTTTGAATATAAATAATATTTTTACTGATAACTTGGTCAGACTGATCAAACCAATTTGATCAAACTAAGCCTGCATTTGTTCAAGCTTGCCAGTTTTATAAGGTCTTTTTTTTTTTAAAGATTTTATTTATTTATTTGACAGAGATCACAAGTAGGCAGAGAGAGAGAGGAGGAAGCAGGCTCCCTGTGGAGCAGAGAGCCCGATGTGGGACTCTATCCCAGAACCCTGAGATCATGACCTGAGCGGAAGGCAGAGGC